TTCTGGGAGTTGAAGTCCACTCATCTTAAAGTGGCCAGGTTTGGACAACACTGCTCTAAACAAATGAGGGCATAGGCTACTTGCTCTAGTGCAGAAAAGGGACATGCATGCTGGACTACGCAGCAGAAACCATATCCATCTTTTCAGCATGATGTGATTCCTATTGATTTGCCAGCTTGTCCCATCTTTTCCACCTGTGAGGGAAAACAAGGCGCTGGTAAAGTGGAGCTGACCCTGTCTGCGTTTCTGTGCTGGCAATATGCTTTCTGTTGGCTTTGCTACACTTCCAACATGCAAGGCAGCAGGTGGCAAAAGACAATGGAGAGGCCAGTAGCAACAGAAAAGAGGAAAAGAGGCTTTAGGAAGAGAGATGGAGAGGGAAAGGGAGAGGGAGATGAAACCTTACTTGAGATGCATGGACTGGATGGGGCAGCCTACGATGTCTGTAGGCCAGAGGTTCCTCACCTTGATATGTTAGCTGTACTGATTCAGGCCTACAAACTGATTGTTCCCTTAAGAACAGCAGGATCCTCTCCTTTCCTTTCTTCATTTGGTCTTCAGTATTAGATCTGTACTAAAACCCATGATGAAACCATACAGAACACTATTGATAAAATTATTCTTAGTAACAATTATTTGGTGCCTGAACTCTATACAGGAAGTCCTTGACTTACGATGGCAACTGGTACCAGAATTTCTATCACTGAGCGATGTGGTCGTAAAGCACAACTGCATCGCTTAGCAATGGCAATCCCTGCAGTCCCGGTTGCTGTCGTTAACCGAATCCCATGATTGTTAGGCGAGGCAAGTGCCTTCTAGCTTCCCATAACCAAGTCAGCAGGGGAGCCGGCAGGAAGTTGCAAGTCTCAGGCAGTTCGCAAGCAGGCCAGCAGGCAGGTAAGTGGCTACTGCTGAGTGGGGGAGGATGTGAGGGAGGCATAGCAAGGCTTGGGGAGGGTGCACAGGGGTGCACGAGTGGCTGGGGGGGGGTGAACCTGGGGGGGCGGGGGGGGGG